CATAGCTATTCCCTTTCTGAGTATCTTCCCAGAAGAATTAAAAATATCATACCACAGCAATATATATGTCCCTATGTTTATAGCAGCATAATTTGTAATAGCTAAATCTTGGAAACAACCCAAATGCCCATCAACTGAGGAATGGATAAAAAAGGATATACAATAGAGTAGTACTGAGCCATAAAGAAAGAGAAAATGATGTCTTTTATGGATAAATGGATACAACTCAAGACCATAATCATAAGTGAAATAAATCAGACCCATATGTGTAAATGTCATATAGTCTAGTGTGAGAAATGAACAAATAAATAAGATCCAAAATGTACAATAGATATTGTGCATTGGGAAGAAATTGTTCAAAAGAAAAGACAAACTGTGATGGGGAAAGGGGAAAGGAAGAAAGAAAAAAAGGAAAAATATATGTATACACAGGATGGCTAAGATAGTTATATAGCTAGTTTCTCTTAGTTCATTAAAAAGAAAGTTTTGTGCTAATATTGTATAGACAAGATACCATGCTTATATCTTCTACTCTGAATAACTACTATAAAGAAAACAATATGCAATGTGTCAACTATTGTGATTGTCCTACTAACCTGTTTGGAAACTCAGTTTCATTGTTATGTTTATCATTTTTCTCTTAGAAAAATAAATGAAACAAGACCCAACAATATGTTGCACACAAGAAACACATTTAACTGAAAAATAAATTTACAGAATGAAAATCAAAAGATGGAAAATAATGCTGTATGTGACAGGGACTCAGAAAAAAGGAGTGGTGGCTATTTTATTTGCACTTCAAGCCAATGTGAACTTCAAGCCAAGACTGGTCAAAAAAGATGAAGAAAGTCATGACATACCTGTTAAGGGAAAACTCCAAGAAGAAAGATAACAATCATAAATATATATGCACCAAATACTGGTGCATCCAACTACATAAAATAAATACTAAAGGACATGAAAAGTCAAATAAGCACTGACGTAATTGTAATGGGGGACCTTCGTACCACACTGTTGCAAATAGACAGATCAACTAGGCAAAAAAAATCAACAAAAAGTATCAGAACTAAACAAAACCTACAAACAAATGGCCTTAGTTGATGTCTACAAAGTATTCCATGCCACAACATCAGAATACACATTCTTCTCAGCTGCACGTGAGACAGTCTCCAATATAGATATATTAACTTATAGAACACGCTTAAGTAAATGCAGAGGAATTGAAATTATCCCATGCATATTGTCTGACCATAACAATGAAAATGGAAATCACTGGCAAAAGAAACCACAAAACTACATAAATACATGAAAATTAACACTCTTCAAAATAAGCAATGGGTTACAATGAAATTAAAGATGAAATTAAACTGTATCTACAATTAAATAAGAGTGCCAATACAGCACACTAGAACTTATGGGATGAAATCCAATCCTGAGAAAAATTTATAGAGTTGAATTCTCACATCAGAAAAACAGAATGAGCTCAAATAAACAACCTAATCTTGTACCTGAAACTTCTAGAAAGAGAAAACCAAATCAAGCCCAAAGCTTGAAAGAGGGAAGAAATTATAAAGATAACAGAAATTAATGCAATTGAGACTAAGAAAACAATACAGGTACAAACAATCAATGAATCAAAGAGTTGGTTCTTTGAAAGATTCAATAAAGTTAATAAACCTTAGCCAAACTTATAAAAAGGTGAAAGAAAAGACTCAAATTCATGCACTTATGAATGCAAAGGTGAAATCAGAATGGATTCTGCTGAAATCCAGAAGATCATCAATGCCTACTTCGAGAACAGGTACTCTAATAAGATGGAAAACACAGAAGAAATGGACAGATTCCTAGATACATATGAATTGCCAAAACTGAAGAAAAAAAGTATAAAAATTTTAAATAAACTATTGAAAACATAATTAAACTTACAAACAATGAAAAGATCAGATCATGATGGATTCAGTGCTCAATTCTACAAGAAATTTAGAGAAGGTCTAATGCCACTAATGCTGAAACTCTATAATGAAATTGAAAGGGAAGCAGTGCTGTCAAAATTATACCTAGAAACAAGTATTACCCTGACACAAAAACCAGACAAGGACCCAACAAAAAAGAAAACTACAGGCTGATCTCATGAATGAACATAGGTGCAACAATCCTCAACAAGATACTGGCAAACAGAATGTAGAAAATCATCAAGAAGATTGTACACCTTGACCAAGTAGGACTCATCTCAGGGATGCAGGGATGGTTCAACATATGCAATCAACAAATGTAACACACCATATCAACAGAACCAAAGATGAAAATCACATAATCATCTCAATAGATGCAAGAAAAGCATTTGACAAAATCTAACACCCATTCATGATAAAAACCCTACAGAAAATTGGAATAGATAGTCTTTTCTCCTGCTGATAAAAGTCATCGATGACAAAATTGTGGCTGGAGGTGAATATGAAGACAGCCTGGTCTCAAGATGAAGGTTTGATGGGAAGGCTTGCAAGCTTCCCTAGAGATGTAGCAGCTTCAGATTATAGTGTAATTAGCATCACCTGGTCCAGTGCACTCATGAAATGCATCAGACACATAGGAGAGTGATCAAAAGATCTGGACCAAATTTCCTACTATCTTATTTTGAAACTTTGTATCATTGCTTTTATCGATTTTTTTCTTTAAAATAAAAAAGAGAGACTGTTCTAAAAAAAAAGAGACCTGGACGAATACACCTATCCCCTTTCAGCAATGCCTTTTTTCTTTCTATGATAGAAGTGGCAGACAAACTAAAGTTAATGATGCTGGACATATACTCTTGCTATGTGCCTTTCCTCTGTACTGGCTGTATATTAGGTAAGTGACTATATTTGTTATCCTATAGATTGATTGTAATTTGACCCATAGCTATCCACATTGTGATTTTGCTGTATAAAATATCCTTGAAGGTAGAACTTCAGTGGCAACTCACTTTCAGGACCTCTCTTGTTTCTCAGGACTTTCTTGCAATAAATATTTCCTACTCTTAGCTTTCTTTGACCTTGAAATACATTTTTCAGTATCAGCAGATGCTAACTGAGCACATCTGACACTTAACATGTTGAGAATTATTTTTCTTGTGACACAGTGAGGGAGATGCCTGTCTCTTATGCTCAAAATGAGGATTTTTTTCATTAGTGCATTTTAGTTACATTTTGACATATTCATACATGTACAAAGCATACTGTCATGATTTTTCCCCAATTATGTCCTTCAAACTTTTCTTCCCTGACATCTGATTCACTTCATCTTCTCTCCTAGTCTCCCTTCTGCTTTCTGGAAATCTCTGTCTTTTTTCTTTGTCAGGGACCAGATTGTGTAAGGGTTATGTTGCTGAACACAGTGCTCTCTGGATGCATTGAAAAGCTCATATTCATAGCCTCTGAAGACATCTAAAAGGATTCAGGGGCAATAAAACTGCCAACTTTGGAGATCAAACAGTTTTCTTAACTGGCAAGATTTACTGCCTTTGTTCTAATTTCTCATGGCCTTGTTCATTTTCGAGGGCTTTTGTCTCACATGCTCCATCCACTTCATGCGCCCCCTGAATCTGTGGAAATCCAGTAAATATGGGCGATTAAGAAAAGTCTATGTCATAGCTCCTCCAGAGCGCTGACCTTCTTGACTCCCTACACAATTTTATTACATTGTCTCTTTTACTTAACTCTTGACTGTAATTCATTTTAGGAGATGGGGGTTTAGCCCAAGTCCCCAATGTTCATTCTTTTCTTTTTTTCTTTTCTTTCCTTTTCTTTTGTCCTCAGACTCCTCATACGAGAGCAAACAGGCAATATTTGATTTTCTCAGTCTGGCTTATTCACATGATAATGTTCTAGTTCTATATATTTGCATATAAGTGACATGAATACACTCTAGGTTTTTGGCTAAATGACAGCCTACTGCATAGATATGCCATAATTACTTTATCTATCCAACTCTTGATAGACACTTAGGCTGTTTCGATAGCTTAGCTGTTATGAAATGTATTGTAATAAACATGAATATAGAGCTATTACTATAGTAAGCACTGTGATCAGAAAATAGAGTTAATGTTTAATTTTTTAAAAAACTTATTGCAGAAAAAGACACACTGCCATTAATTCCTCTCAAAATAATCAAAATACTCTCCTCATCTTGAACATAATTATCCCATCATTTTTTGGTAATGTATATACCATTCTGACTGGGGTGAAATGGAATCTCAGTGTAGCTTTGACTTGCATTTCCCCAGTGTCTGAAAATGTTGAATGTTTTTCATAAACTTACTGACCACTTCTACTTCTACTTTTGAAAAACATACATTCAATTAATTTCTCCATTCAGTGGCTGACCTATTCAGGCTTTACCTTTGTGTTTGTGTTCCTTGGTTTGATATTAAGCATTTTGTGTTCTCCTCATATTCTGGAATTAATCAACTTTTAGAAGATTAGCCTGCAAAGTTTGTCTCCCATATACTGTTGAGTGTGTGTGTGTGTGTGTGTGTGTGTGTGTGTGTGTGTGTGTGTGTGTAGATGCTTTCAAACTAATGTATTCCATTAGTTGATTTTTTTCTGTTATTTGTTGTGGTATTGGAGTCTTATTCAGAAAGTCATGTTCTGGGCCTGTGAGTTTGATTGTTTTCTTCTAAAAGTTTCAAACTTTTAGATTTTAAACCTAGATCTTTGATATGTTTTGAATTGGTTTTTGTACAAGGTGAAGGATAAGGATTTGATTTCAATCTTCTACATATGGATATGAATTTTTCCTAGGATCATCAGTTAAAGAAGTTTTTGGTATGTCAAAAGTGATATAGATATAGTTGTGTGGGTTTTTTCTGTCACTACTCTATTGCACTCGGCTCAGTAGTTATTTCTGTGGGAATACAATGCTCTTTCTGTAGGAATTGTGATACCTCCAGCACTGCTTTTTTTTTTCTCTGGAGAGGGACATCATGCACATAGTAGTCAGATCTAGGTTACAGATGTACTCACGTTGAAAATGTGCAACTTGGAGTGCAGGCATCACAAAAATGAAGTCCCCAATCATCTCATGGAACTGGATTTTCAGGGTCTGGGGGTTGTCATTGTCTCCCATGTACTCTTCCATCACCAATTCACCAAACTTAGCAGGCAAATTCTAGACCAGAAGCATGGAAAGCCAAATTAGACAGACTTCAGGACAGGGGTGAGCAACAGTTCAAAGTGGGATAATGGGATCTGGAATGGGACTAGAATGTAGGAAATACTCAAGCTCTGGGGTAACCTCACCCACAGACACAGATATTCATATTTCAGCCTTCTTTTGGGTGGTGGCTATATAGAGAGGAAAGTGGAGAAGCCATTTCCACTGGGGTAGGAACCCAGAAGCCTCACCATCTCTGCTGACATGTTCTGCAAAACAGCCTGTAGAGTCGCTCTATCCATGTCTTGCAGGCCTGGAGAATGCTGGATCTGGGTGTAGGAGGGATGAAATATGAGGGTAAAGATGAGTATAGGTCTGTATTGGTGAAGTCCTAGGAGCCCCTTCAGCCTGGTTACACTCCCCAAACTACCATGGAACTCACCATGGGGAGCATCCAGCCATACTCATCATTGTTGACACCAATGATGCTGGGAACAGGTCGAAAATCAGCAGAGGCCAGCAGCTCCTGTGGGTGCCTGGGCAGGAAAATCCCATCTACTACAGCAGCAATGATCTCAAAGTGCTGAGAAGGCATTAAAGATGAGTGATCAAGGCCAGGTATTACACATTTTCTCAAGTCCATTGAGTTACTTGCACTCTCTTCTAACTCATCCTAGGATGCTCCTGCCCACCCCATGATAAGCTGCAGTAGGCTTGGCATACATAGGCCCTCATGTCCCATCCAGAGCCGGTAAGACACTAAGACATGGAGAAGAGGTAATTTTAGTCCAGAACAGTAGGGACTGTCTCTCCCACCCACCATCAGTCTTCTTCCTCTGTACCTGAGAATGTTCAGTCTGACCTTGATAATATCCAGCATTTCATCTTCACTCTTGCCCCGCAGGCACCTCACCAGGGCCTCTGAGTCTACCTGCCCACAGGCAGACAGGGTGGCCACCTTCTGTAAATGGATTGGAGAGGACTGGCTCATTGTTTTGGGCAGGGAAAGGAGTGTGCCCAAGGAACATGTAAGGTCTAAATAACCCCCAAATTTCCCAGGATACACTGTGTGGTAGGTGCAGGTGTGACATTGTTCCAACCTCTCTGTTTCTCAGAGTTTCCAGCCAGAGGGCTATTCCACTTGCTTACATGGTTTTTGCAATGATGGGTGCCTCAGGGCACTGTCTGTCAGCCACAGAATATACTCAGCCTGTATGGGGCAGAAGTGTGTGGATACTGATCCTTGGAAACTCAGTAATTCCCAGAAAGGCAACAGTTCTCAAGGCACCTTAAATTCCCTTCTGCCCACTGTACAGACAGAGCATCCGAGGCTCTGAAAGTGAAAGGAGAGGGAGGGATACAGGGTTGGGGTGGTCACGGCACTCACCTCAGAGACAACCTTAGAGGAGATGGAGAATAAGCTGGGTGCTACAACTGCCCCACTCTCCATGATGGCACCACGGAACAGTCCTTGGGACATGGGGGACACAACAAGGGAAGAAACACTTGTGCCACCGGCAGACTGGCCAAAAATAGTGACATGGTCAGGGTTGCCTCCAAAGTGGAAGATATTCTGTTGTACCCAGCGTAGGGCAGCCACTTGGTCCAGGTAACCCCAGTTGCCGGTGGCATGCTGGTCTCCAGTGCTGAGAAATATCAAAGACAAGGCTCACAGGCCTGTCCTGGCTCTGCGCACTCCCCATTTCCTAGCCCAACCTCAGACTCACCTGAAGAAGCCCAGGACACCTAGGCGGTATTGTATAGTGACAATTATCACGTCCTCAGAAGCTACCAGATTGGATCCATCAAACTCGGAAGCCATACCTCCAACTAATGCACCACCATGGATCCATACCATTACCTGGGGAAATGAAGACAGATGCCATATTTTTTCATTCCAGCTCACATCCACCTGAGTTACCCATAGACTGTCCATTGCTTTGATTCTGTGCAGCTACCCACACAGACATGAGTCCAATAGGGTTTCATCACCTTGTCCAAAGGTTATGGTTCCAATTTCAATTCACTAGATCATGACTCTCAGACTTGTCCAATTACCCCATGAAGGCAAATCTTTTATCTAGTAATTTCAGACTCTTCCATAATAAAATAAAAATGGTTTTCCTGACTTTTCCAATGGAATATTAATCAAAAGTGTTATCTAATCTCACTGGCATGGCATATACAACATGGCTGAAGTCTTGAGGGATATCAAGCTTCAGCTCTTGCACACAGAAAGGGTCCTCTTGGGACACAAATCTCTGATCCCTGGCAGCAGCTCTGGGTCCATGATCCACTATTCAGTGGTCAGTCTCCCAATCTGGGTGAGAAAACTTTCTTGGAACCCACAGGGAGAGATTGTAAATCAGGGTCTACATTGTAGCAGAAAGCAGGCTGATCCTATTCCTTCTAATCTTTATCTCCTAGAGTGTGGTGTGCTAAGGTGTGTGTGTGTGTGTGTTGTTCAAGCTTGAACTTGGAGCCTCTGAATTATTGGATAAGTGGTGTTTGACTGACCACATCCTCAGCTCACTTCTGCTCTTGAAGAAAAAATGTCTTACCATCCACCATGATATGACACTCACCGGCAGGTTAGAACTCTCATTGGCATAGGCAGGTGTGTAGATATTGAGGTACAAGCAGTCCTCTGACATTGGGATCGTAGGCAAGTTCCGAGTGAACAGCATCAGAGCTCCTGCATTCATTATATCATTTTGCAGACATCTAGTGAAAAAGGCAGATAATTAGTTCAGGGTCTGTGCAGTGACCAGAACCAAACTCTGGATCTGATTTGCTCCTATCTACCCCCAATATCTTGTTCCCCCTGATGCCCAGTATAATGGTTGATTGATTGTGTCAACTTTAGAAGTTTAGAAGCTTAATTAAGTCAGTTCAACAATTCTACACCCTAGGGTTGAGAGAACACACCCTAGGGCAACTCATTGCCTGTATAGTATAAAGGAGAAATGAGGAAGTACAGACTTGTTTCTGTTCTTCAGAGGAGCTCCAGTCTTCATCTTCAGCTTGAATGTCATCTCCTGGCTTCTAGTACAGACACTTCATCTTCTGCTTTGGGCCCTTCAGCCTTCCAACACAGACTCTTAAGTTTTTGATTGCAGAACCATAAGCTTCTTGATGTGGACTTGCACAGGACACAGCAGTGAACTCAAGACCTTGGACTGAAACCTTCAATCTCCAGTGTGCAGACAGCCTCTGCACTCTTCCTTATATGGCTGAATGTCTTAAGCTAATCTTGTAATGTCTTATACATTTGTGTATCATATGTCATAACTGTTTCTTGAGTAAAACACTGACTGCCACACCCTGCCCCACATGACCCTTCTCTGAAGTCCCTGTTCTTTGAGACAAAGGCCACAGAGAGGGCTGTTGTGATGCAGCTGAGATTTCCAAGGAGTTCTCAAGGTTGATGAGGTCCTTGGATCCCCCTCCTCCTGAATATGAGATATCATGACTATTAGGGGTCTCCATGGGCACTGGCTGTAGCTGTTGAAGTTTGTCCATTTTCTCTACAAACATGTGGTTCTGGAATAGGCAAGGATCTCCAACATAGGTGCTGTAGGTGGAAATGCAGGTTACTTTTCCAAGAGGAGTAGAGGGCATTTACTCCATCCCAAGATGGCACAGTAAGGGAAATTCGTCCCACCAACAGAGTCTGCACTTGAAACAACGTAGACTTGTTCCCTGGAGAAGGGAATTTGGTGCTGGCAGCAGGAACAGTGAATCTGGGAGATGGTGTTTCCAAAAATAAGCACTACTGCTCCCGTCAGCAATCTGCAGTGTCTGGTGCTTTAGTAAGAGTTTTTTAAGAGTTCATAGAGCCAACTCAAGCTTGGTCCCACAATCACCTCCTCTGGTTGCACAGAACACTTAGCATCATATTAATCTGGGCAGAAGCACATCTCTGCTTCATTTTTCTGAACCTGAGCTAATACTCAACTCCTCAGATAGGACCTGCCAAATTTTCTTAACCCTCTTAAGCCACACACACTCATTCCATAAGATAAAGGAAAATGGATTGTACAGTTTTGATGTAAGACCCACTACAGCATGGTTATGAACTCAGAGCTCCTGAACACTCCCCAGGGCCAGAGTCTCCACAGACCCTCAGAGGAATTACTTGGCAGGGTAGGAAGTTCCATCCCTCACACCATTCCAGAGCTCAGGAGACTCAGGGGGTGCAAACCGCAGCGGTCCTACAGGTGGCTTTGCAAAGGGAATTCCCAGGAAGGTGTAGACTCCTATGCTGGTATCATTCACATAGACGAGGCTGCCCCTCACCTGACCTGTGTGTGTGGTCCTGATGGGGCTGGCAGAGTCCTGGGCTGTGGGCAGAGAGATTCACATCAGGGTTGGGTCTGCCCAGCCAGCTCCTCCCACAGGTAACACAGGGAGGGTGTTACCTCCTCCTTGCCACTGTCAGCTCAGCATGGTTAAACAACCCTGATGGATGAACACAGTCTTCATAAGTGTCCTAGCTGTCACACTCACCCTATCCAAATGCTGCAGACACTTGGGCTGACTCAACCAGTCCCATGAGATCCAGTTTGGCTTACTGGGGCTGAAAATAAACATTCAGCCCCAGAACCATCTCCCAAAGGCTCTCTCAAATGGATGGGGTGAAAATTACCTTTTCACTAACCCTGCCATGTCTCTGAGGCCACTGACAGACTGGAAAATGACTGAAAAGTCTCCCATCCTCAGGGAACTCACACTCAAGGTGGAATGACATAAAGATAGTATGCTCCTTGCAGGGACTGATTTAGTCACAAGTGTTAGGAGAGAGATGCAAGGCTGTCACTGACAGGAAAAAGCCTGGCTTTCCTGAAGGTGAAATGGAGGAAGCAGTTGACTGTCACAAAAAAAATCTCGATAGATTGCAGTTGTCAAAGTCCTGACTGAAAATGGATAATGGGCATGTAGTGTTAGTTAAGTCTTCTCTCTATGTGAGGCTAATGCTGGGCTCTCTGGTTAGCCCGGATGTTCTCTGTGCCTCAGGGGACAGGGAGGTGTCCATCAGTCTCCAGGATTCCCTGATGTCCTCTCTATCAGTGGGCACCTGCTTGCTACACTTTTCCGCTGTCTCAGATTCTTCCTCTGCAAAATGTGTCAGAAATGGGTGGCATTCCTGAAGAAAACTTTAAACACCATGAACATCCGGGGGAGCTAAAGCTTCCCTCCTCTATCTAGTCCCCATGGATCAGCATATCTGATCCATTTGTGGAGTTGTGGAAAGGGCAGCAACCACTCATGGGAACCATACAGGGCAGTCTGACAGCATCTTTCCGTATAAGAGATGTACTTCTCTGCCCACCTACCTATGATGCTTCACCAGTTTGCATCTCTGTCCATGTAACTCACAGTGACCACCTGACACTGATGCCTGGTGCATGTTACAGCACAGGACAAAGCCTGCTGCAATGTACTTGTTGGGAGACGGGGCTCATCCACAATACTACTTCAAGGAGGAGAAAGCCCTCCTATGTAATAGTGTTACGTGTTTCAAATGTCAGGAAGGGGAAAGCCCAGGAATGAAACAGGGTGAGTTTATGACCTTTTGGTGAAACCAAGGAGGGTTGTGTGCATCTCTTCTTAGGCACAGTTCCGGGCCTAGTATGGAAGATCCTTTGATCTTAGTGGTCCCTTTGAAGGACCCATGTACAAATGGGACAAAACTGGGCAGTTCTGTGCCCTCTTATGGGTCCTCAGTGATACTGACCACAAATCTAAGCCAAAGACTATTGAAACAGGAACTATAGGTGAGTTTGGGCAGATCTTCCTGCCTAGAAGTTCTGATACCTCCAGGACTCCAGCCAGCACAGGAAAGCAAGCAAGCCTGGCCTGGTATGCCAAAGGGGAGAAATAGTGGGACTCCTCCTGTGCAATTGACTGGGAAAGGTGGTGGTGGGAGATCCTTAGGTCCCACACCTGGAGTCCTTGGGACAGACGGTCAAAGACTGCAGACACACCCTGCATATGGAGCCCTCCCGACATCAGCTACTGATAAGGGTCCTGAGAGTCCATGGCCGGAATACAGCACATCACCTTTGCCCTGAAAATGAATCAATCCTTTGTCCCAGTTTATGTGCATGGGTGAAGGGACCCAGTGGTCTCTAAGTTCAGCTTTGAGATATGGTGGCCAGGATCTTTTGTGTCCCCTAAGACCTGTTGACGTGGCTGGACACCACTGGAAAATGAGAGAAATTTTATGGCTAAGAAGGTATCTAAATCCAGATAGTACATCAAAATGGATGATGGGTACATAGTGTTCATTAATTCTTCTGTGCCTCAGACCAGGGCTGTGCATCTGCAGGTCAGCCCTCTCATCCTGAGGTCTCAGGGTAGAGAGATGTCCAATCAGGCCCACAGATCCCTGGTGTTGTCCTCTCCAACACATGGAATCACCCTGGCCCAGTCCTCCTGCTGTCATATTTTCTTTTTCTGCAGAACATGGCACATTTAGGCCATATTTCAGATGAAAAAGTTAAACACCTCAAAACTTTATGGGGAGCTACTGCTCCCTTCCCCATCAGATCTACTTGAATCAACATGCCTAACGGCACCTGGTTCAGGTGAGGACAGGAGACCAGATACTCACAGACAACAGACAGGACAGTTTAACATCTTTTCATGTAAAACAGCTGCTTCTGTCCCAGCTTACTCATGATGCCTTGCTAGCTGGCATCTCTGTCCACGTAACTCATTGTGACCACCAGATGCTGATGCCTGATGCTCTTTACAGCAAGGACAAAGCCTATCTCAATGTGCCTGCTGGCAGACTGCATACATCCAAAACGTTGCATACTCAAAAATGGAGCATGTTTAGGTAGTGGTGTGAAGGGTCCCCCATATCATGTGGGAGAAAGCTCAAAACCAGAAAGGGCTGAGTTTGTGACCATTTAGGTAAAAACTAAGGATGAGTGCTCACCGATATTCTTAGCTACAGTCTTGGGAACAACGGAGAAGGCAATGTGTTCTTGATGGTCTTGTTTAGGACCCAAGTTCAAATGAGATGGAATCCGGGCATGGTGGCTCACTCCTACAATCCTAGCACTTGGGATACTGAGGCTGTAGGATCCCTGTGAATTCAAGGGAACCTGCACTACATAGTAAGTTCAAGGCCAGCCAAACTGCATAGTGATACCCTGTCTTTAATAAATAGAAAAATTGCGATGCAAGAGAGTGGGCCCCACCCCAGTACCCTCTTATAGCTCCTCAGTGATACTGAATGAACATAAATCCAACCCCAAGACTTTAAATAGGAGCCAGAGGTGAGGTGGAGCTGATCTTCCAGCCTGGAAATACTAGTGCCTTCCAAAAACATGGTCAATAGCAGGTAAGCTGGGCAGCGTGGGCCATGGGGGTGTGGTACTGAAGACTCCTTTGAGGCAGATTGCATTGGGGAAGAGGGGAGATCATCAGAACCCACACCAGGAGCCTCTGGGTCAGAGGTTCAAAGGCCACAAACACACTCAGCACATAGAGCTCTCCCGACATCAGCTCCTGATAAGGGGCCTAGGACTACCTGACTGGGATAGATCAGACCAGCTTTGCCCTTGCAACCAATCCATGCTTGTGCCCTGTATCAAGGATATGCAGTGAAGAGACCCAGAAGCCTCAGATCAGCTTTGGGATGTGATACCCAGGGACTTCTGTTCCCTCCAGACCTGTTCCTTTGCCTTGGTAGAGTGCTAGGGCACCAATATGGCTAAGAGGTGTCACACTCAGAGACAAATGACAATAGGAAGTTATTGATTTCATTGTTGCTACACCCGAGGGCCAGGGGCAGCTACAGCCACAGCCACAGTCACAGCCATAGCCACATACACACACACACACACACACACACACACACACACAAGAGTGAAATGTCCTAAATCCCACCCAGCTCCAAAGCCACAAGGCTTCCCACCTGCCCAGGTGTGCTCCTTACCCTTCCTCAGATTGGACTACTCTTTGGTGTTGGGTGTCCTCAAGCAGTCCTGACCCTGTCTGTGCTTCCAGGGCCCATCTTGGGGGCTCGGTTTGGGTCATTTTGTGGGCACACATATCCCTTACTGTCATCTGTCATCTCTACCAGCTTCTCCTTCCCTGGCACTTCTCTCTCACCTCATGCCTCTCCAACACTGCGTTCTCAGGGTCTATCACTGCACACCTTGGTAGATATGACTATGGTACCTGGCATCTTCTGCAAGAGTCTCACCTTGGCCTGGATGTAGAGTTAAGAGCCCACAGGCTGTAGTGCTCAGTAGGATAAGAAGCTGGTCCAGCCGCATCATCGGTTTGCCTGTGTTTTCGGTGTTGCTGGAGACTGTTTCACCCACAGGAAGCCTGGAAAGTGAGTCCTGCCCAAGTTGAAGTTTGAACCCAGCAGGGAGGAGGCGGGGCGTCTGGTGGGCCAGGCCAGGAGGAGGCTGAAGGAGCAGCACTGACTGGGCAGAGGTTGCACAGAGCCAGTGGCCAGCAGGCAGGACATGGTCACCTCCCTTCAGGCTCAGCCATCAAAAACATTATTAGTACATATTTGTCATTCATAATAAGCACATTCATCATGGGAATTTGTACTTTTACATAATATGTCCTCATTGTTTTTTCCATTCCCTTCCCTTCCCTTCAACTTTTCTTCTTCTCAGCACTTATAAAAGTTTTCTTTGCATTTTTTTCCTTCCATCCTCTCTTTTATCATTTTTTCCTTTCATCCATTCCCTGTCCTCTCCTCTCTTATTCCCCATCCCAGCTAGACGTGTTCTTCCTGCCCAACATCTATCCTCCATTTTGCTTCTATTTATGCTTTAGGTTTCTCACACAATAGAAACAATGCAACACTTAAACTTGTGTGTTTGATTTATTTCACTTCAAATGATGGTATCAAGGAGTATCCATTTACCTAAAAATGACTCAGGTGTATCCTTCCTTAGGACACCCTAGCATTGTGTATAAATGCCACATTTTTTTAAATGCATTTATCTGTTGATCAGCATATGGGCTTCTTTCACTATTTAGCTATTATAAATTGTGCTGCTATAAACACAAGTATGCATACATCACTGTGGGATGATTCTTTTAACTGTTTCAGGAAGATACCTTGAAGGGGAACAGCTGGGTCAAACAGAACCTCTAGTTTTAGTGAGGAATTATATCAGTTTACACTCCCAACAACAGAGGAGGTTTCCTTTTTCCACATAGCTTTAACAACCTTTGTTATTGATTGATTTCTAGGTAGTGGTCTTCTTTCTGGAGTGAGATGGAATCTCAGTTTTGTTTTAATTTCCATTTCTTGAATGACCAGTGATGCTGAACTTTCTTCATATATATTTTGCTGTTTATACTTCTTCATCTGAGAAGTGTCTATTCATTTCAAATATCCATTTTTGGGTTGAGTCTTTAAATTTGGGTGTCTGACTTCTGAGTTCTTTATATATTTTAGATATTAATCTTTGTCTGATGAGTAGCTAGTAAAATATTTTCTCATTCTGTGGATTGCCTTTTCACTCTGTTGGTGTTTCCTTTTGCTGTGCAAAAGCTTTTTAATTTTATGTGATCCCAGTTGTTGATCCTTTGTAATATTTCCTGTGAACTCAGGGTTTTTTTCGTAAAATCTTGCCTATGCCCATGTCTTCAAGATTTTTACCTATTCTATCTTCCAACAGATAGTTTCTGTTTTAATATCTACATCTTTGCTCCATTTCAATTTTAGTTTAGTGCATGGAGAGTGGTGTGGGTGTAGATTTAATCTCTGGCATATGGAAGCCAGTTTTTCCAGCAGCATTTATCAAAGGGGCTATCTTTGTTCCAGTGCGGTTCTTTGGCCCCTTTCTCAAAGGTAAGTTGGCTGAATGTGTTTGGAGTTGTGTCCATATCTTTATTCTGTTCCACTTATCCTTGGGCCTGTTTTTTTTTTTCTAGTACCATGCGGGTTTTTTTTTTTTTAATCATGCTAGCTTTGTAGTATAACATCAAATTTGGAATTGTGATGCCCCCTGCCACCTTGCCTTTGTTACCCAGAATTGCTTTTGCTATTGTACGTCTCTTCTACTTCCATATGTATTTTAGGAATATTTTTTCTAGTTCTGTGAGAGATGTTATCAGTATTTTATTTGGGATTTTATTAAATCTGTATAACAGTTTTGGAAGTATGACCGTTTTAGCTATCCAGGTTTTGTCTATCCAGGAAGAGGGGATATCTTTACATTTTGTGATATCTCCTTCAGTCTGCCTTTCCAGAGCTGTCAATGTAGAGGTCTTTCACTTCCTTTATTAGAATTGATTCCTAAGTATTTCATTTTTCATGGTACTATTGGGAAAGGTGCTGCTTCTCTACTTTCTCTCTGAATGAGCATGTTATTTGTGGACAGAATCTTATGGATTTTTGAGTGTTAACTTTGAATCTGGGTGTGCTGCCAAATTTGATAATTAATTCTAGTAGTCTTTTAGTGTAGTTTTTGGGATCTTCTATGTAGGATATCATGTCATCAGCAAAGAATGGTAATTGAAATTCTTCCTTTCCTAGCCTTATTACTTTTCTTTCTTTCTATTGTCTAATTGCTCTAGCTAATCTTTCCAGAATATTTTGATCAGGAGTGGTAATAGTGGACATCCTTATTTTGTTTTGGATTTTAATGTGAAAGCTTTCCATTTTTGACCATTTACCATGGTGTAGGCAATTGCTTTTCATAGATGGCTTTTGTCAGATCAAAATAAAGACCATCTATTTCAATTTCTTTTAGGGTTCTTTTTAATCATGAAAGTGTGTTGGATTTTGTCAAAAGCTTTTTCTGCATCTATTGAGATAATTATGTAGATTTTTTGTTTTGTTCAATAAATGTGATAAGTGTGATATATCACACTTACTGATTTACATATGTTGAACCATCGCTATGTCCTTGGGATGAATCCTTCTTGGTCATGGTACATAATCTTTTTGATGAATTGCTGCACTTCATTTGCCAGTATCTTGTTGAGGATTTTTTCATCTATGTTCAGTCTGGAGATTAGCCTGTAGCTCTCTCTTTTGGTTGGATCCTTCTCTGGTTTTGGTTTCAAGTTAATGCTTGCTTCTGGGAACAACTTTGGGAGTACTTCTTCCCTTTCAATTTCATTAAATGGTTTGAGGAATAGTGGTATTAGGTATTCAATAAAGTTCTTTTTTTTATTTTAAAGATAAAAGGAGGGAAACATTAACAGACATACAACATTTTACAACATATCACAAGCACAATACAGACAATACA